GTTAAAAACACTGTTCAAATGACATCGACAGTGTGTGAATAAACTGCAAACCGACATAGATTCCTACTGACAGTTACATCTGGAAATGGAGAGTATTCGAAGATGAACTTACTTCGTACAAGCAAATGAAGTTGTATGAAAGCACTTTCAGAAAAGTGTGTGTGCATTTCCAGTGAATGGTCCTAAAGATAATTGATATTGTAGTATCATCAGCAACCGTATACTCTTGCATAAGCTGGATGCAAATTCATCAAACATCGTTAATTAAATGCGCGAATTATGCTGTATCTTATCATTAGTATTTTTCAAGCTCATTCAGATAATCAAGATAATAAGTGTATTCGAATACGCAAAGATATAGCATTCCGAAAACACATTTGAAATCAGACAAATCAGGTGAGGGATGAAGTGTCTTGATGCACGAATCTATCTAGTACAGCTTTGAACAAGTGAAGTTGTTGACATAGTTAGAGACATCGTGTTTGTTCTCACAGTTAATTGTGTCACTCAATGCCACTCGTTCACAAACGTGTGTGTATCTATGCTGATCAGCATGCATTTCTCAGTGAACATAAATATGTTACTCGTTGACTACTCGAACCAGTATTCGATGGCCACTGAAATCTGATGTGAATCTGCAACGTAGTTGATTGAGGAGAACTATGTTGAACCCAATTAATAATTCACAATGAAGTTGAGACGTGAGACGTTGTATCCCATGGATCATTATTCACTTTTCCACCATGACTGGTTTGTATGTACACTCATCCACCTAAGCATTGAACTACAAACATCACACAAAATAGAATGATCTCCAGTTGGATTGTTTTGTATTTGATTGAGTTCTCGTAAATATATATATATATAATCGAAATGTGAATTTGTGATGTGCATCGCAAGTTGCAGTAACTGATCCACCATCCATATGTTCATCTTGAACTTGTCCAATCAAAACTGTGCATTCTGTAAAACAGACCTCGTATTAAACTGCTCAATCGCTCAATCATTTTAGTCGACCATCAGTTCATAGAGTACAGAAATTCGAGTGTCAGTGCCATCAATGTCATCACACTGAATAAACAGTCATACCTAATAAATTCATTGCACCCTAATCAAACTCTCAATTCCAAGTGTTTTCTCTTCATTTTCAAACAGACAATGCAAGTACAAATACTTTCCGCGTAATTCAAGAACAGACGACAGCCATGGCCTTCGAATGGGAAACAATGACGGACAAAGATTTTGGTTATGTCTATTTGCTTCAAGACATACCCGATAGGTTTGATAAAACAGTGTACGTATACAAAGGCAATATAGGTTTATTAGAAGCCATTGGCGAACCATGTGACCATTCAAAATATCGTGCCGAGGGCTACACCAATCACTACTGGGCTTCTAACTTCGGCACCTATCACATGACATACAAAAGACGTGAGTTGTTTCTAAACTCTTACCTAACAATCACCTTTCCAATCTCTGTTCCATCTTCATCACATTTATACAACATTCGAATTCCATATTGACATCTTTAGAGATCACATGTTCAGTGGAATGTTTGATTGAATTTCTTGTGATGTATGTCAATCTATGTATACGTTGTAACGAAGCCACAGTACTGCTCCGTTTGATATATTCACCATCAAATCACTGTGTTCATCAGCAGTGACAATGTCACAGTGTATTCATTTTGTGCTCACATTCTTCCTTTCATTCCTTCCTAGTTCCGAGAATCAATAATGTTCAAATTCAGTTGAGGTCAAATCTGTATTCACACTTGAAGTGGGAAAGAGAAAGAACAGCCTGTGAACCAACTGATTCCATCATTATATTCAGAGGATATTCGAACCAACCACTAAAGATGTATACCATCACGAGCAACCGAATTGAGTACTATTCGGATGAATTCAAAGCAGAAGAAGGAATGGAAGAAGTGTTCATTGTGTTCAACAAACATGGAAACCGTTTCTCTCTACCGACGATGGGTAACATTTTCTTTGTGTGTCTTATGCATTGCAAGATTTTTTCTGGCAAGCACTGTTGTGGAAGTAGAAAAATGTGTGCACATGTAGTGAAATCGCACATGTTTGTCAGTCGACAAATTTAAAAGGAATATCTACCAGAGTGGTTGTCTATATTCACGTCTAATTCACCCAAATGTAGTTCAGATGTGTGGTCCAAATAATGTTGTTTCTACGTCAACTAACAGTGCCTGCCATCACAGAAATATCGAAGTTATTCATAGTCACAGTTCACTGATCGGTGTAATCTAATCATAACGGTTGACATCATGATAATATATATATCTAGAATAGAAGAGCTGGTCTGATTCACCCCGCAGTGTTGCTTTAGTTTTCCAGTTTCCCAATGTGATCAAGCAATGTGATCATGACAATTTGATGAAATCGGTAGGAAAACTCTTACTCACAATCGAGTTCACGTTTCTGACGTCGCTCAGTAATTTAACTCAGTTTTGAACATTTCTCCATGTAAATGTGTCTCATCTCAATACGCTGAGTGTTGTGCCATCATGACTAGAGTCATTTGATAGTCATCTACATCGATGACGTCATCATCACAATAATGATTAACGTGAATCATTGCAGACGTTCACAGACAAATAATAACCACTGGTCCACATGTGAATGTCGCACTGATTCTGGTCATCACAACACACGATACATGTAGAGTTAACCAAGACACCACAGTGATAATTTATATATGGTGAGATCATAGGAACTAAGCTGAGAAAATAGTACATTGAAATCTATCTCACGAGTAATCTGTTTCATTGAGCTCTGTTCAGCACAATTTTCTCAATTCAACATTCCATTCTCAACTAATAAACAAACTCTTTGTTTTCAAAATTCTCTCTTTCCTACCGCAATCCAAATCAATATGCCATGAATGTGAGTTCATTGATTACATTTTCAAACACAAGAAGATATTTTGTTCAGTTAATACTTTCCTCGATGTTCCATCAGTATAACTAGTATAACTAGTTCCTTCTCACCTACATACAGGATTACACTGAATCCCAACTGTGTTCTATGCATCAATGAATTGTGTTTGGAATGTAGGTTCAGCATGAAACCACATGGTGTTTGATGTTTGATGTTTGATGTTTGTAGAGAGACCAGATGAAACTGTCTCCAATTGAACTGTCTGAATGTCGGTAAACATTTGAAGAGATTTGAGAATGACCAACGTCCCTTCCCCACTAGTCTGATTATGTTCAACCGAATTTTCAACATCACACACACCTAATCACCATATTGTTTTCATTGTTTTGTAGAATATAAAAGCCAAATGTAAGTTCATGTAACGTTTCTGTATGTATAACAGATCAATGTTTACTTCGCTTCTTCACTAATATTAACATTTTGACTATGTAATAGATCACAGTTGCTGTCAGTCTAATCTTTTCATAACATTCTCATTATTGATTTAGTCACCTTAACGAATCACCAACATAATCATATGTATTCATTGTTTTCATTTACCAGATAAAAAACCAGTGTGGAAAGGGAACAAAGAACAATCAACAAACCAAACAAAACGTGAGATAAATACATAACGATTAATCCATTGTTCCCCATGTAAATCTGACTAGATTGTGGGAAGTTTCGAAGTATTTGTGAAAGTGGAGATACTCCGAGGTTAATAATTAACATGCTGATTGAACAGTTATGAAATATTGAGACAAAATACACGTGACAATCTATGGAATTGATAAACACTAGAAAATCACTCTCATCTCAGCATATGGCGATTTGATACTAAACCTAAAATTCAACTCACTTCATTGAAAACCTGTGCGGTGTAAATCGAAAATGAGGAGAATTCGCATAACTGTATTCAACGGTTTCCGTGGAACATCAGTCATCTGATCGCATTGAACATTAAAACGTGTCATTCATCACACGTGTGTGTGTGTGTGCGCGTGCGTAGTGTTGGTTGAATGAATGTCTCAGTGATATTTGTGCATACTGAATGGTGATATAAGTAAACGTGGTCTCGCTTCACATCAACATTCTAGCATGAATTGATCAGTTGTGTATATTCTGATGGTTGAGTCGTTCGTCAATAATTGATTTGGCTTTCTGTGTTTATTCGATTTATGTAGCATCTGTGAATTTCACGGTGAAGAATGAGGACATGACTAAGTTGACGACAGGTGGAAATCTCACCTAACCCACATTTCTTCGGGCATTCTCTTCCTATGATTACGTGAATGTTTCTGCCTTGACCAGTGCTTCTTTTTCATATGTTCATGATGTTTTACGTACTACATGCTACTTATGTCGATGAAGTCGGAAATCGTGTGTTTTAATAACATCTCACGTATTCAACCGTTGAATTCCAAATATGTTTCGACTAACACACGATGATGTATTCTGTTTAGAACCATGAAATGTGTTATCTCCTCTCATCAAATTATTGAACTGAATCTGTCATATTACACTTGTGTTTATCTCTCATTTACAGCATCGAATATTACAGAATCATCATTTCTAGAAAATACAAGCACTGCATGTGAGTCAATCGTCTCAGAATTCATTGTTCTTCCACATCTACACCAATCATTCTTTCCTCTCATTCTCTTCTCTTCGATCTCCATAACATCCTACTGCCAATCATTTCACTTTCCATTGATCAGACATACTACTTAAATCTAGCGAAATCAGTAGCACAAACCACAATCCAACATTTTCATTCCAAATAGGTCTCAATAGAAAATATTCACTTTCCAATGACTAACACAGAATGATGATATCTGTTAAGGGGTTATGAAATGTATTATCTCCTCTTATCAAATTATTGAACTGAATCCGTCATACAACACTTGTGTTTATGTCTGATTTACAGCATCGAATATTACAGCACCATCATTTGTAGTAAATATCGCTCTCACTTAGTCTCTCAATATACATTAAGTATCTTTAAGTTTCCAGTCTTTCTATTTAACTGTTGAGCTGACCAATTAATAATGGAACCGTAAGAGGAAAAATCTTTAGTTATATATATATATATATATATATATATATATATATATATATATATATATATATATATATATATATATGATGATGATGATGATGATGATGATGATGATGATGATGATGATGATGATGATGATGATGATGATGATGATGATGATGATGATGATGATGATGATGATGATGATGATGATGATGATGATGATGATGATGATGATGATGATGATGATGATGATGATGATGATGATGATGATGATGATGATGATGATGATGATGATGATGATGATGATGATGATGATGATGATGATGATGATGATGATGATGATGATGATGATGATGATGATGATGATGATGATGATGATGATGATGATGATGATGATGATGATGATGATGATGATGATGATGATGATGATGATGATGATGATGATGATGATGATGATGATGATGATGATGATGATGATGATGATGATGATGATGATGATGATGATGATGATGATGATGATGATGATGATGATGATGATGATGATGATGATGATGATGATGATGATGATGATGATGATGATGATGATGATGATGATGATGATGATGATGATGATGATGATGATGATGATGATGATGATGATGATGATGATGATGATGATGATGATGATGATGATGATGATGATGATGATGATGATGATGATGATGATGATGATGATGATGATGATGATGATGATGATGATGATGATGATGATGATGATGATGATGATGATGATGATGATGATGATGATGATGATGATGATGATGATGATGATGATGATGATGATGATGATGATGATGATGATGATGATGATGATGATGATGATGATGATGATGATGATGATGATGATGATGATGATGATGATGATGATGATGATGATGATGATGATGATGATGATGATGATGATGATGATGATGATGATGATGATGATGATGATGATGATGATGATGATGATGATGATGCATCATCATCATCATCATCATCATCATCATCATCATCATCATCATCATCATCATCATCATCATCATCATCATCATCATCATCATCATCATCATCATCATCATCATCATCATCATCATCATCATCATCATCATCATCATCATCATCATCATCATCATCATCATCATCATCATCATCATCATCATCATCATCATCATCATCATCATCATCATCATCATCATCATCATCATCATCATCATCATCATCATCATCATCATCATCATCATCATCATCATCATCATCATCATCATCATCATCATCATCATCATCATCATCATCATCATCATCATCATCATCATCATCATCATCATCATCATCATCATCATCATCATCATCATCATCATCATCATCATCATCATCATCATCATCATCATCATCATCATCATCATCATCATCATCATCATCATCATCATCATCATCATCATCATCATCATCATCATCATCATCATCATCATCATCATCATCATCATCATCATCATCATCATCATCATCATCATCATCATCATCATCATCATCATCATCATCATCATCATCATCATCATCATCATCATCATCATCATCATCATCATCATCATCATCATCATCATCATCATCATCATCATCATCATCATCATCATCATCATCATCATCATCATCATCATCATCATCATCATCATCATCATCATCATCATCATCATCATCATCATCATCATCATCATCATCATCATCATCATCATCATCATCATCATCATCATCATCATCATCATCATCATCTCATCATCATCATCATCATCATCATCATCATCATCATCATCATCATCATCATCATCATCATCATCATCATCATCATCATCATCATCATCATCATCATCATCATCATCATCATCATCATCATCATCATCATCATCATCATCATCATCATCATCATCATCATCATCATCATCATCATCATCATCATCATCATCATCATCATCATCATCATCATCATCATCATCATCATCATCATCATCATCATCATCATCATCATCATCATCATCATCATCATCATCATCATCATCATCATCATCATCATCATCATCATCATCATCATCATCATCATCATCATCATCATCATCATCATCATCATCATCATCATCATCATCATCATCATCATCATCATCATCATCATCATCATCATCATCATCATCATCATCATCATCATCATCATCATCATCATCATCATCATCATCATCATCATCATCATCATCATCATCATCATCATCATCATCATCATCATCATCATCATCATCATCATCATCATCATCATCATCATCATCATCATCATCATCATCATCATCATCATCATCATCATCATCATCATCATCATCATCATCATCATCATCATCATCATCATCATCATCATCATCATCATCATCATCATCATCATCATCATCATCATCATCATCATCATCATCATCATCATCATCATCATCATCATCATCATCATCATCATCATCATCATCATCATCATCATCATCATCATCATCATCATCATCATCATCATCATCATCATCATCATCATCATCATCATCATCATCATCATCATCATCATCACATCATCAACACCATCATCCATAACAACCCCCACCCACCCCCCCACCCAACCAAACCCCCCCACATCCCACAAAATCCTGTTCCCAAAAACTGACCTACCTATCCTAACACACCCAACCCACCCCATATAACAAACAAATGCTCCAAATCGGACGACTCATACAGACCCCACAAAAATGATAATACACAACCATCAATCACCCCAAAAGCCACCAAACACAGTTTATCCATAAAACAAACCTACCGACATTAGTTATCCTAACTGCTCAATCAATAACAGGTAGGCTGAATAACCTTTTTATTTTAATCAAAGAAAATTGCTTATCTTTCTTTCTTATATAAACTGGTAACTATATTTATAGTATGATTTTCATTACGATCTGATTTCAGTTGAAACATTCATAGAATATTGACACAGCTGCTTCAGTCAGTCAGTTAGTCATTAGTTTGTAGAAAGAATGATATAAAGCAATCGTAATCGATTGATCACTGGGTGGTGATTAATGTCATGTGTGTCAAGTCCTTCTTAGTGCAGATCGAATGCTATTGACCATCCTGCAATGTGGCTACCAGTCTAAGTGACTCGACATTGCGTGCACTATGTTGCGATTAAATGGTGGTTAGAGGCAGTCAACAGCAAACCCTGGACCCGGGTTTCGTGCTACTTGGCACTCGTCAGTAAGGTGTATCTGTAATCTTGCGGGAACTGGTGCTCCCTAACGGATTCGATCCAGTGTCGCCCAGCTTCACAGCCAGAAACGTTACCACTGGGCTATCCGGGTCGCGACCGATCTCCTGTAGAACTGAGATGTAATCACAATTAATTAATCACAAGAGGGCTGACCAACGTCATGTGTGTTTCAATCTAATCTAATCTCAATGGTATAAAACAATTTTATTCTCATAGTTTAAGGGAAGACAGAAAGTGTATACACCTACACCATTATGATCGATTCTGAGCCATGTCACTCAAAGTTTCCAACTATTGGTTACGATAGTCACGCGGACCCCAACCAAGTAGTCTGCATTTACCAACATGATTCAAACTAGAAGTTGGTGACTTCAAGAACTGATTCCACGTTTTGGGTGGTCTGGTCGTCTCTAACTTTCTTCCATCCGTCTCCAACACTAATCAGCATTGCTTGTCGTGGTAATCAGTGTTCAGGCATACGTAACACATGACCCAACCATCTTAGTCGATGAATATTCACAACCTCATCAACTGATTTACCATCAACCCCCAATACCCCACATCTAAACTCATTATTACATACCCGGTGATCCTTAGAACAATACTAATCATTTAAAAGTTGAATTATTAAGTTTCAAAAAGTTTTTTTTTAATTGAATTACTTAAACTGTAACATTGAGTTTAATATCTATACCTACTTTTTATAAAAGTATAAAGTTGTAAAACATGAAAGTTGACAATATAACCTATAACTTCTATCTCTTTTTGATGGAGTTTTGTTCTCTAAGCTGGATGGCTGAGTCGTTGATCTTTCATCGTTCTTCTTCATCGTTCAGAAGGACGATAAAAGCTCCACGAGCAAAATATCCAGCTCAGAGAATAAAACTCCATCAAAATCATCTACTTGAGCTACAAATCTTCATCAACTTCTATCTCTTTAAATTCATCAAAATCCATATGATACAGTTATATTGATTACAGTAAGTTGTCACGTTATTATTTATAGAATATAATGAAAAAGATCAATCAATAATCAGATTAGTTATTCAACATAATGGATCAATTGTTTGAAAGGGACCATTTTTATAAAGAACTGCTTTATATCAATAGAATTTCTCGCTGTTTACTCAATATCTCCTCTCCAAATTTTTATTTTCGTCTATCACCATTGAATGTTATTTTGTATAATAAGAAAGAATTATATCCAAAATTCCATAGAGCTTTTCCAACAGCTTATCGATCCTGAGTGGGAGGATTGTGGATGTACATTACTAAGGTGTTCTATACTAGAAGAAAAAAAAAAGAAGAAACAAACATCCAATGGTTCGCGATAGTCACGCCAATAAGGTCAACTCTTTATGTAGAATGAAAGTTAAAAACGATAAACAAATGAATTAAAACTTACTCACAGAATACCTTTGAAAGTAGACAAAAGTTCAGCTTAGAAATCAATTAAATAAGACAAATAAATGGAATGGAATGTATCACTGTATTTGAACATTTCAAGCTCATTGTAATGAACGATATCTGTTCAAAAGAATTTGTAATAGAAATTGAATAGACCAATAAATAACGGCATTTGGTTTCAAGCTTCAAGTTATTGCTTTAAATCCGGTTAATATTGTAGTGGACGAGAACACAATTGAGGACAATGGAATGTATTTGATCACAAACTTAGTAGTCTACACCTACCAACATGGTTCAGTCCACTCTTCAGTGACTTATTCCTCACTATATACCTATTATTATTATTAATTTATTTCCGATTCTTTTTTCTTTATAGGAATTAATGATTTATCATTGAAATCTAAAAATTATCATCATCATCATCATCATCATCATCATCATCGTCAGAAGCCTGAAAAATTGATTAGTCCAATTACATCACAACAATTACAACATTGTCTAAATAAAGGTAAATAATAAATATTATGATAAAATATATACATATACATATATATATATGATTTATACGAATATTCGTCAAGATTAGAACGAATAGTTTGACAGTAATTGAGCGCCGAGTATAGAGAAGTCATTATATTTGAAATATTCTCAGCGATTGAAATTTAACTAATTCCAACGTTTCGTCCAGCTAACTTGTCTGGACTTCTTCAGGATAATAATCAAAATCAAAATTATATAGCTTTTTACCAATCAGGATTATACTGTGTTAAACCAATCATATTTGGATGTTGATTTTTTTGTAAAATAGGATAGAATGAATCAGTTAACTACAAATCATTTGAAGAATTCATCTATATGGAAATACTGAACTGAGTAACAAATCGTATGTGTGTGAGTGTGTATGTATGTATGTATGTGTGAGAGATTGATATGAGTTCATATAACACAATTTATTGATTATAAACAATATAATCAATTTTTGTGTTACATCTATAAAGAAAAATAAAAAAATATGTCAAGGTCAAGTGATACTACTTAAATTAGTTACAAGCCAATATAATCGGATGTTTTGGTGAACTGCGAAAAAAAGTTCAGAAATAAGTTTAATTGTAAATTCATGCGGACACTTATCATTATGGTGTGATATTATTTTAAACAAAACAATGGATAGCTCAGAATCAATTAGACGATTTGGACTTCGCAGATGACCTAGCCCTCCTATCGCATACACACGAACAAATGCAGATAAAGACAACTCGTGTAGCAGCAGTCTCTGCATCAGTAGGCCTCAACATACACAAAGGTAAAAGCAAGATCTTCAAATACAACGCAGAGAACATCAATCTAATCACACTTGATGGTGAAACTTTAGAAGATGCGGAAACTTTCATATACCTGGAAAGTATCACTGATGAACAAGGATGATCGGATCCAGATGAAAAGGCGAGGATTGGCAAAGAAAGGGCCACATTCCTACAATTGAACAACATACGGAACTCAAAACAACTGTAAACCACTATTAAAGTCAGAATCTTCAATACGAACGTCAAGACAGTTCTACTGTAAGGAGATGAAACTTGGAGAACTACCACAACCATCACCAAGAATGTACAAGTATTTATAAATAGTTGTCTTCGCAAGATACTCAACATCCATTGGCCGGATACCATCGGCAATAGCCTTCTGTGGGAGAGAACAAACCAGCGACCAGCTGGAGAGCAAATTAGGAAGCGATGATGGAAGTGGATAGGACATAAATTGAAGAAATCAGCTAACTGCATCACGAGGCAAGTACCGACTTGGAATACCGAAGGGAAGCGGAAAAGAGGAAGGCCAAAGAGCACAGTACGTCAGGAAATGGAAGTCCAAATGAAAAGGATGAATAACAACTGGAAGGAACTGGAAAGGATTGCTTAGGGCAGGGTTGGATGGAGAGTGCTAGTGGGCGGCCTATGCTCCACCACGATGAGTAACAGGCGTAAGTCAGTAAGATTTTAAACAAAGTCTAGGACTAGAAAAGAAAATCCTGGAAATGATGTGATAGTAGCATTACACCATATTGTTGGAAACAGGTGTCTACTTAACCTAGAAAAACTACAATAAATAACAGCAAAATTAACAAAGCTCACTTAGATCTATAAATGTTTCAAAAAAGACCTATTAAACTATTGAAATTATAGAGTTTGGAAACTATGAGTTACGGTTTAGTGGACGAGAACACAAGTGGAGACAATCGAATGTATTAGAACATAAAATTACAGAATCTCTTAGTAAAATCTGAGAATCATATAGTAAATACTTTATTTGCAAAATGTCAATCAATTGTCTCGAACTTGACTGTTCCTTCGTTTCCATACCAATTGCTTTCTGTTCCTGTTCTTTCCTCCTCGATCTTCTTGGCCTTCTGTTGTCAGATATCCTATTCCTAACTAGCATTATATACTACTTATGTCGATAGAAGTAGCACACATCATAAGGGTACCAGGTCAAACAAAGATTAACAATTATTTCTATTTATACATAAATCAAGTTTCTGAAGCTTTCGAAAATTATCAAAAACCTAGGTCTTAGTTGTTCATCAATCATTTGAAAAGAGTTTATGTTACTCACCAAGTGTATCCAAGATATGTTCAGAATTTATATTATTCAACTTCTCTACTCCATTTGTAAAACAACTTCTTGTTTCTTCTCATTCTACAAATATAATTGCTTTAGAAAGTACAGATCAAGTCTTAGCTACGATTTACAATATTATGTAAAGGGTACAATGGGTCTTCAATTTGTTTATTGAACATTACCTGTCTCATGACATGTTAAGCTCTAATTACTGAAATATCAAGTTGTCTGCCCAATGCTCACCTAACATTACCACCACCTACAAATTGAAGCGGATAAACGTCGCTTCCTAATGACCCTCTAACACAAATTTACACATAGATCAGTTAGTATTTCAGGCAACATCTATAACATTGAACTAGTTGGACAGAATACGAATT